GGTATTTTTCTATAAGTCTAAGTTTATCCTAAATCCATAAAATAATCAAATAATTGACCAAAGCCATTGTGCAAATTCATCGAGGCCTTAATCTGCTCAAATTGATGATGTGTGCGTTTTTTATCTATTGAGCAATGTTGAGGTAATACGTTCAATAGAAATTTCCAATTTGATTTCTCTAAACTCTACTGATATGCAACTAGAAGGCCTTGTTGATATGCCAAAGTAAAATTGTAATACCTTTATTTTACAAAGAACAAATAATGTTTTTGTGTCAATCGTGATTTACTCTATCTACAAGTTTCCATGTGATCCATGGTTCCCGGCTTGCATTGATCTCTTAATATGTTGAAGATCAAAAGATATCAGCTTCAAATTATCACTGCATACATGTATGTCCAAGATCCATAATTGTGAACTTCCAATGATCACTGGAGATCCACAGTCACGGCTTTAATTTAATTAGCACTATCCGTCCATGGATCCATGGTATTCGGTTCTAAATTATCACTGTATATGCCCTTAGTTGTCGAATTCCAATGATCACTGAAACGTACATAGAAATTATCAACTTCCATTGACCACTGAATATGTTTGGGATCCATAGTTGGAGGCTTCAATTTAGCACTATATGTCCATGTGATCCACAGTATTCAGTTCCAAATTATCACTATATATTTCTAAGAGATCCTTAGGTGTAAGCTTCCAATGATCACTGAAGCATATCTATGAGAACCATGTAAGCTTTTGTATGTGTCTATGAGATCCATAATTGTCAGCTTCATGTGATCACTATGTCTGAGATCCATAGCTGTCTGCTCAAAATTATCAACGATTATATCCAACATCCATGGTTGTCAACTTCCAATGATCACTGTATGTGTTTGAGATCCATAGTTGGAGGCTTCAATTTAGCACTATATGTCCATGAGATCCATAATATTCAGCTTCAAAGTATTACAATTATCACTGTACATGTATATGTCTGAGAGGTTCTTAGTTATCGGCTTCGAATGATCACTGAACATACATGTACACTGTATCTATGAGAAACATGTAAGCTTCTGTATGTGTCTATGAGATCCACAATTGTCAAATTCTAACGATCACTGAATATGTTTGAGATCCATAGTTGTCGGCTTCAATTTAGCATTTTATGTCCATGAGATCCATAATATTCAGCTCTAAATTATCACAATTATCACTGTTTATGTCCGTGAGATACTAAATTTATCGACTTCGAATGATCACTATGAGAACCACATAAGCTTCTTTATGTGTCTATGATATCCATAATTGTAAACTTCCAATGATCACCATCTTGATCCATCAAGATATTACATATTATGAATGAAGGAATACGCTGGTTTAACAGTATGAATGATCACTGAATATGTTTTAGATCCATAGTTGTCGGCTTCAATTTAGCAATGTATGTCCATGAGATCCATAATATTCAGCTCCAAATTATAACTGTATATGTCCAAAAGATTGGAATGTTAAGACCCTTGTAAAAACAAATATAATGATTATTTGTGAAGAATAACGAATAGCCTAGATGCGAGTAAAATAATATTGTTTTACGTCATTAAACATTCAAAATTTAGTCCATGTGAATGTCATATTTGAAATCTACATGTAAAAGTCCATCTAGAAATATGCTTTCGAATTTTTTTATCAACTTTGAAAAGAACGAATGGCTATAGACACCCCTGGGGTCACTTAACATTTTTTGAAAAATGCAATGTATTTAATATCCTTGATATGTAGGATCAAATTGAAGATAAATATGTATATTTTCAAGAAATAGCAATAAAAAGCATTCGAGATTACTGATCTAATAAGTATATTTTGGTTGATTTGGGAGGTATGTATCACTTCCTGTGAAAATCTGAATTTTTATCAGTCTCAGAAAATGTCTCCAGAATGTATAAACCCTACTTGGCAGATGTCCCATTGTTTGATTGTGTCACTCTATACACTCATTGGATTAATATTTTGTACATATAAATAGTCATATTTCAATAGTCATTGGGTAGGGATTAGTTATTTTTGCAATTGTGTTGACCTACTTCTTTTTAGATGGAGGAAGGTCATGATAAACTCTTGCTTTGTTCATATAACGCTTGGTTCTTACCTAGAAAGTTATATGTATTGAGGGAATAGTGTACTTCTAAGGTACTTCTTGAGATATGTAAAAATCTAGGTAAGGACCAAGCGTTGTGCAAAAATGGAACTTTTCAGCAATTTTCAGCATGAAATAAAATGATGTCCGCCATTTTGAAAATCCTTAGAATGATTGTGACAGTTGTGTTTTATATATTTGAGTATATTTTCTTTATTCATATGATCTTTTCATGAACTAATATGTATGCTTGCACTGGAGCATGACCTCGTGAGAAGCATATATCTTTACCATGGCTCTAAGCAACATAATAACATGCAATTCCTTTCAATACATTCATATGAGATGATTGTTGTACAATCATTTTATCTTGATGTTTTGTGTATGAATATTTTTTTACATTATCACAGTTCACTGGCAGTTCACTATTTAGAAATCCAGCTCAACTTTATTGTCAAAAAAATATACTGTAAGTCACAATCAGTAGGCGGAAAAACGACATTTGCTAATAAAAGCAAAGGGAACTGCATGAGTGAACTGCAATCTCCCAGTACCCCCTGAGGGTTACATCTAAATCATAGTAGACTCTCTTGAGATCAAGCAAACCAATTTTAACGATGCACAGATGACCATCTTCAAGTAGATGGGAAATATACCATCATTGTTAATAAAGATACATATGGCCTCCAAATCCAGATGTATGTTATAGTATTGATGCAATCACTGGATGGTGTTGTACATGCCTTGATGGGAGGAGGGTTGTAGGCACAAGGGGTATAAAAGCAAAAAAGAAATGCACGAAGTTTGACATTTTACAATCAAAAGATATGTATGAAATGTTGTCATCTGAAGAAGATGATGATAGCTCAGAGAATCTCTTATTATAATGAACAAACACATGAATGTGCTCATCAACAGTTATGTAAAGTCGATGTGTTTTCAAATGTTGCTCTTTGTGCTTCCTCACTGTGATGTGAAATAATAAATTCAGTATTTTACTGCCAGAAACTGCATATGTGCAAATGATCTCAGCAGATCAATATATAATTGATTGATATGCATTTTTGACTTGTTAATTACTTCATGTGTTTTTAAATGTTGCCCTTGTTCTTTCTCATTGTGATGTAAATTAAAAAAAACTCAATATTCTTTTCTGACATAGTTTTGCAAACTTTTTTTGTAGACAATTATTCTAAATGAAGAATAAAGATATTCAATATTTTGTTTGTATTTTTGACTTGTTATATTTTATATGTTTTCGAATGTTGCCCAATATGCTTTGTCACTATTATGTAAGATAATAGCAAATGGGTGAAAATAATGATTACTTTGATAATAAATAGAAACATTGACAATAATGATGTAAAAAGTGATTTTTCCTTGAAAAGGTCATTTTATACGCGTTAATAGAATGACCTATATTTTGAAATATAAATGTCAGAATGACCTAATTTTGGGATTTGGTTATCAAACAAAGTCTCTTCTTTGATATCCTGTACAATTTTTTCTAAATATCTTTGGGGCTAATATAGGGTTTTAAAGCCACTCGTCCTTTAATTTCTCTGAAAATGTGACTTCTAGTTCGGGGAGATTCCCCATAGACACCATGTTATGAAATCACAAAGAAGTGAAATATCTTTTCTTATATTGGACAGATAATATTTTCTTTAACTGGCCATGGACATGTTTTAATTTGCTTAAAGGGTCCCGATAAGCTTCCCGTATAAGAACAATATGGCGGATCCAGGCGAGTCAACTGGATCAGTCCATTTTGAAAAAATTAAGGGGAGTTTTGTCAAATCCAGTTTATATCTTGGAGATAAAGTAATCCGTTTATAATGATTCTGAAAACATTAATCAGCGAGTGATTATTCAAAGAATGCATGTACAACAGTTAGAGGTGTTGACCAGAGACATAAAATGTTATTATATGTCTCTGTGTTGACACAACGACCTCGAGAATGTGAACCCTTGAGTATTATTCCGGGATCGGTCCTTTTATACTAAAAGGTGAGCAACACAAGAACCGAGCGTTCGATTTGCTAAACGATATGCGTCACCCTTTAACTATTACAGACGTAAGGGTGATTTGAAAATTGAACCACTAAAACAGATGAATATTTAAGTTAAAGGGAACTTGTACTACATCCGCCATGCTATCTGACCCGAACGAGCCACATGGTGGTGAAACTTGTAAATATGTACCAACTCGCATCTGAGTTATTCGTCCGAACCGATTCATTTCCTCTGCAAACAAGGGCAAATTCTTTGTCACCAAGTTTGGGATTTTTATAAAATCAAACGCATGTCATTGAAACTCACGAGATGTAAATTGCATGTCATTTGCATCATAAGTTGATGTAGGGTTGGAAGTACCTAAGAAAAGTTATTGTGAAAATGAGAAAGTCCTTCTCGTGATAAGAGAAAAATGCCCATTTAAGGAGTTTTTCTTTATTTAAAAATTTGTAAAAATGTGGGGTACTTCGAATCATTTGGGGGGGATCATAGATTTCAAATTGAACACGAAGAAGTCAATATTGAGCAAGTTATGGCTGTTTTGAATTAAAATATAACCTTTATTCCTAACCGATCCGGGAGTCCTTACCGATCCATTTTCTTGAGCTGCGTATACCAAGGATGAAGTCGTCAAATTGTTTTTCAGTTTCCATTAACACCACTGATTGAGGACCGTTTCAATTGCTTTGGTGTTATTCTATTTTGGACGGCGCAGTTTATGTTAGTGAAGAGAAAGCATACTGACAAACATATCTTCACACAGAAGACGAAACGTGAAGGTGGCACGATGCAAGCCTAAAATTCAATCTAGTTTATAGTATCAGCATTCTTATGTTTTCTTTGAAAATACGCAACTCACCTGAAATCCTGGTATTGCTTCCAGTTTGTCCAAAGTCCCATGCGCAAATCCTAGCCCCCGACCAGATATCATCGGAACCTAGAATATAAAAGTCAGTATATAACACCAGATAACACATATACGGTCAATGCGACGATATACATAGTGTCGATGTTATCAATCAATTATCATATACAATTTTCTGCAGAAGAGGACTGATTGGCGACCATTTAATACCCGGGCCTTAGTATGTGTACCAACAGCACCGTTTTGCGGTAATTTTACTCTATTTCATTGCAATCCGTTTACATCGTAATACAAAAAATAATCGAAATAAATTAATATTGGATGGAGGGGGAGTGGATGGAGGGGGGATTTATATGTATTTACGATGGAACAAATTCACAAGAACTCGCGTATTTGAAAAAACTAAACTCGGTACCCCCGTAAGAAACTGGATATTACACCTCTGGAGAATGAAAAATGGGAAAATTTGGAGTCATAAGAATAAATGCAAGTAGCATGTCTTATCATGTCTTATATAGACGTGATCCCCCCCTCTCCATCCAATATTAATTTATTTCGATTATTTTTTGTATAACGCATGGAAACTAACTTTAAAAAGTGAGCAATGTCATTAGTATTGTGATAATAACGTCCCTTATACCTATTTATTGGAGGTCGTGTAGACCATTGTTGCCCGATTTAGAGCAAAAACATTGACTTTTGCACGTTGGTGATGATGCGCCTTTTTTAACAGATCTCATATCTTAGAAGGGTATCAGTTAAGAAAAATACTAGATGACCTAACATATTTTGCCATGCACTACGCCTATTCATTTGGCAATTCAGTAGTAAATTTTCTCTAGAAAAAATAAATCTTCCAAATTTGTTGAGTTTTCTTGCAGAAATCGCCTAATCCCCCATCCATCCATTTTGTACGATCACCGGGCGTGTTACTGGGAGGGATTGAATATGGTTTTTATTCCGAGGGACAATGTGATATTGACCGAAGGGTAATATGATATTGACCGAGGAGCGCAGCTTCCTTGAGTCTTTCGTTGAATTTTGTAGTTATTGTTCATATTTTTATACTTTCATGCTATTAAATAGCAAAATTGTATTTGTAGCCTAATATAAATCAATATGAAATCCACTTTGATGTGGGATTAATAAAGATACATACATATATAAAAAAGCAAAAAAATGTGGCCATATTAAAAATTAATCTGCCATCTTGAAAATTACTTCTTGAGCAGAACTCATTTATGTCTAGGAATCAGCATATAAAATTTGAACCAAATCCGTCCACTAGTATTTGAGTTATCAGAGATTCGGTTTTCACTCCGTTGTCCCTAGGCATCAGCATATACATGTAAAATCATAGAAAACATAACATGGCGGCCATTTGAATGAGAGGTCACATTGAAAATTCCTTCTAGGGCAGAGGTCCTGTACACCGATAAGGCATATAAAATTTAAACCAAATCAGTACTCAAATCTCTCAACCGGTATTTGAGTTATTGCCCGGAACGAACTGATGGATGGGCAAACGAAAGGGGGGAACGGCGTTTATATATTTCTACGAACAACAGTGGAATAATTAATGTATACCTTCATACCGCATGCAGCAAGAGCAGGGGCAAGTACAACACTGACTTTGTCCCCAACTCCCCCGGTACTATGCTTATCGACCACGCGCTTCTGTCGGGTCCACTCTTCGGGCCATTGTAGAACCTCGCCTGACTGCATCATAGCCCGGGTCAAATGTATGGTCTCATCTGCGCTCAACCCATTTAGACGTATAGCCATCAACATAGCACCTAAAGTAAGGCCAAAGTGTTTTTGTATTTATATCGACAACTTCCCCTTGTTCAAGCATTTTATGAATCGTCAAGCAAGTATGTATGAATTAGCAAGTTGTAACATCTTCGACTTCCTAGATGGCTATGATATGGGGTAACTGAAGCTTTGTGAATCGAGATGATGCTCTATGTGTAAAGAGTACAATCCTGAAGAACTTCGTGGATGCACATTAAGTTTACTGGCCCAACAAAATACACGACCTGTAATAAATAGGTGTGAGGGACGTTATTATCACAACAACAATAGGGAGGTTAAGATTAGCGTAAAAATATAAGTGTACCTATCCATTCTGTATGTTTGTGACGGATATGCATATACGTGTAGGTAATGCGTATTGTAAAATGAGTTTAAGATTAGCGTAAAAAAGCCACGAAATCGTATGCAACAATTTATAATGAAAATGACATCCAAATTCTAATGAAAACCATGCTATGGTTTGTATGACATTTACCAGTACATGTCGCCTCAAAGAAATGTTATACAATTCAGAGAGAGCGTGATGTAGCTATACTGTAGTGGGGTTTTGCTTATGGGCCCGCTAAAGGCGAAATGTTAAATGTTTACCATGATCCAACAATGAGGGTGACCAATTAAAACCACGAGAAAATGCCTGATTTCATACATTCACAATAAGCAAAACAAATAAGGAATGTGTAAATTCAACAATTGCATGCGTCATGCAAACACCGCTTAGTGCACGTGTTAGTGCAATAACGAACTTCGTATAGGTATAGGTAAATGGGTTATTTACGCTAATCTTAATATTGCTCACTTTTTAAAGTTAGTTTCCATTCGTTATACAAAAAAATAATCGAAATAAATTAATTTTGGATGGGGGGAGTGGATGGAGGGGGGGGAGTAACGTGTATGTAAAACATGCTAAGACATGCTGCTTGAATTTATTCTTTATAACTCCAAATTTTTCATTCTCCAGAGATATAATATCCAGTTTCTTACTGAGGTACTGAGTTTAGTTTTTTCAAATACACCAGTTCTTTTGAATTTGTTCCATCGTAAAAACATATAACTCCCCCCTACCAAATTTCCTCTATGGTCTTGATTGCCGCTTTAAAGCACGTTTTCAAGGAATTCATTCTTACCCCGAACTAGGCAAACTGCTCTCTAAAAACCTTGAATGATTTTACTGTGATGTTCCTCAAAACATCTTGATTCACAAGGTTTCAATTGTTTCTACCTTTAAACCCAGTGGAAAGCGACGAGAACAAATGATGTGAAACCTTATATAATAGCCAGTGTAATAAAGGATGCATAACCAGTGTATTCCTTTGATAGTCATAGGATTCAAAACCTTGGGACCCTTTATTTTCTTTACCAACAACCAGGTGTTAGAGGTGGTATAGTTAAGTTGTAGGAATGGGTCACAGGTACTTGTATTGAAAGTCAAACCAAACGAGTATGCCGGGCAGAAGTGGTCGGTCTATCTTTTCCATTTATCTAAATAAAAGTGAAGATTTGGCCCCTAGTGCCTATGTGAGGATATAAATAGACCATAACTGCCATCACAATAGGTCGACTTGGAATACATTTTTCTTACTGGTTTAGGCTCGAATAAGGCCATGATCAGTCAACTAGGATGAGCCGAGAAAAAAGGTCCACTGTACTAATTTAGGCTAAATCGTTAAGAAAGTTGGCCTTAAATTTGCAACATTTTGGGCCCAATTTTTTCATTCTTCAAATGTGCCCCTCCTTGATTTTTCTAGACCCGATCTGGGGCCATGCGTAAAGGTGACAATAATCACCGGCGCGCTATATATATATCGGGTGTCCCAAAAAATGAGACACTTTTTTGCCAAGTATTTTCTCGGCAACTGATTAACCAAATTCACTGACAATTTGTACAAATTATAAGTAAAAATTATAAGTATAATTACAATACAAAGTATGATTAGCAAGTTGTAAAAATATAAAAAAAGATCAAGTAAATATTCTAAGAAATTCTTGTCAAAAATCCCTATACCGGAGCTCTGTGATGAGACTTCTATAGTGTTTGTATCAGCTACCAGGTGATAGCATTTGTTAATAAGTCAAAATAGCTTGTCTGTGTGTCATGTCTACTTAATTCATTTCATTCTTTCCAAATATCCAAAATCCATTCATTCTCAAAATTCATTGGAGGTGATATTGTTAGAATAAATACGGAAAGGTGTTTTGCTTGAAAAAGAATTAGTAAGTGAGATTTACATCGATATTGGTTATTTTGACATACTGTCTTTAATTCAACAATACACACATAATATGAGGCCAATCTCTGACATATTCATAGCACTAGCAGAAGACATACTAAAGTGCCTCAAGTAAAGTTTTCAAATGATTAAGCTCATCTATTTCTGAGAAATTACTTGTCAAATTGCTTCCCATTTTTTGATACAAACGCGATGAAGTTCTCATTGCATTGCTCCGGTATGGGGTATTTTGACATGCTATCTTGAATTTCTTTGTACTCATATATTTATCTGATCTTTTTATATTTCTGTACATTTCTAACGATACTCCAGGACTACTTTGAACAAATTTTCAAAAAATTTGGTTCATCAGTTGCCGAGAAAATACTTGTCAAAAAGTGTCTCTTTTTTGGGACACCCGATCATAGGTCCGACACACAAGTCACTTGTTAACATCGTAGAATAACTACCCTTTGCATTCGTTTGACTTCACTTCTTAAAGGAGAGCTTCGTCTTCGTCTTGTAGTTTAACTAGACTCTGCACGCAGGGTATAGAATAACGAAATAAGTGCATCCTCTGATATGATATCCACAAGTAAATATCGTACTAAGCAATTTGCCCTTGTTGAATGCAATTGTGCATCCATTGATAATGATATCGACAAGTAAATATCGTATGTTAACTCACCAATTTGCGCTTGTTGAATTCCATTGTTTGTTACAGCATCCACAAATCCCTCAACTTCACCTTGAGTCAACGGGACACTGTCTCGGACGTTAACTATAAGATCTGAAGGTGCGAATCTTGACATTGTCCAAAACTCGAAGCAGACAAATAACCAGGCAGATTCTTAGACCAATGTTTACAACTTGCACGTCGTCTATGGATTTACTACTCCCAAAACTCTGCACTAGTGCTAGTTATAATCATTGCAAGACACAGCGAAGGCTATTTTGGGATATTATGATACGAGTAGCAGGCTTGTCCAATGTATCATGTTGATTGGATAGCAATGGAGGCCACACAGATCTGTAGATAGGAGATGGCAGCTTTCCATAAGCTTACATATTATACTCATTTGGAAGTAAGAACATGTACAGAAAGGACAAAGAAGGTACATTTTGGGATTTTGCTTGTCTTTTGACTTTCGATCAATTTTGAAATTCGTATTTCAGACCTCCAAAATATACCTCAAAACATAATGTAAAGGATATTGAATATTTTTGTCAGAATAGACTAGAGTAGAACTTCTCGTAATCTTGATTTACATCATTAAACATTCAATGTAATGGCATATTTGAAATTAACATGTAAAATAACATCTAGGAATGTAGTTTTGGCGGCCATACACGTTGTTTTATGAGTTTTGCTGTAACTTGAAAAGTAATGGAGCGATTATCTTCATATTTGATATGTAAATACTATAAGCATGGCCGTTTTATGACACTTTGGCTATGGCGGTCATTTTCATCATGGCCGACTTCTAGCCAATGTGTTATAAAACAGTGTGCCATGCGATGAGTATTCACAGGGAATTTTCAGAATGATTAATCGATAGAACTTGCTGTAATCACACTTTTCCTACCCCGTGGTAGGGGCACTTGGGGCCAGGATTTGAGCTCATCATATTGACGTCATAACTCATATTGAAAATCTGAAAATGCATCTGTGCAATCCTATTTGAGATACAACTCACTAGATACTCAAAATAATGTCCTTTGTGGCATTAATATACTTCATTAATACACCCTGGTATCTATCCATCCACCAACTGTTTGTGCCTTTTCAGTTCTAGTGAGGTGTCGACAGTATTCTTGATTTCATCAAATGTTCTGAAAAATGATCGGAGACGTTCAGATTCCTTTCTTTAGTTTCTGTCCTAATACCTATATATTCAACTTGTTGTTAATTATATTGTAGATCATGCCAGGTTTGTGACATGATGTGTTGCCCTAGTCATACATGCTTTACGTAGATGAACTGAAAGCTTTGTGTCTCATGTCTTGTCTAATATAACGAAGCGTTCATGTTTTCTGTATCAAACAGGATATACAATGATTACGATGGGATAAATATCGCGATGATAAGTATGTGTACCTTATCTATTTCTGAGATCTAATCATATCTCAAACCTACGCACTACATGCTGGCCAAAGATTGATGGATAAAGGTATGTGTTGACATTTCAAAAAAATAAATATCCCCGTCGGGGAATCGAGCACCGGTCTCCCGCGTGACGGGCAAGGATACTCACCACTTTACTAACGAGGACTTGGCTGTGAAGAAGGGTTACACTTAAATCATGAACTGGTTCAACCAACATATAACATAACAAGTAAATCAATCAAAACGAAAAACAACACACGTAAAGTTGGCGGTCATTTCCATGGCCGCCTTTTAGTCAAAGTTTCATAAAACAGTGTGCCATTCTTATGAGTATTCACATATCAAATATGAACATGCTGGCCAAAACTTGATGGATATGTTTGATGCATATCCGTCAAAAACTGATGGATAAAGTTATGTGTTTGGGAATTCCAATAAAAGAACCCCCCCCCCCGTCGGGAAATCGAACCCCGGTCTCCCGCGTCATCTTGCATTTCTAAGGTATGATGTTTTCATAATTGAAAATCAAATTGGGTAACGAGTATGCTCCCGCGTGACAGGCGGGGATACTCACCACTATACTAACGAAGACTTGGCGGTGGGGTAAATCACTTGAAATTGTAACACAATTTACATGATTTCTATGCATTTACAACAGGGAATTTTCAGAATGATTAATCGATAGAACTTTCTGTAATCACACTTTTCCTACCCCGTGGTAGGGGCACTTGGTCCAGGATTTGAGCTCATATTGACGTCATAACTCATATTCAGGGCCAGTAACTATATAATCCCTGGGGGACCATCATTTCTTTCACACTTGTTCAAAGTGCAATAAAGTCCAGGGAGGCATTATCTGGGAAGTATGGAAAATGTCCTAATACCTTTCTGTCGTAATACCTATATATTCAACTTGTTATTAATAATATTGTAGATCATGCCAGATTTGTGACATGATGTGTCGTCTTAGTCATACATGTTTGAGTCATTGGCTCTGTTCAGTACATGTTTGAATCGTTGGCTCCGAGTGTTCAGTGGCTTTTTAGGAATTTCTTTACGTAGATGAACTGAAAGCTTAGTGTCTCATGTCTTGTCTAATAATGTATCATGAAGCGTTCATGTTTTCTGTATCAAACAGGATATACAATGATTACGATGGGATAAATATCGCAAAGTATGTGTACTTTATCTATTTCTGATATCTAATTATATTTCAAACTGGGTACCTACGCACAACATGCTGGCCAAAAATTAATGGATAAAGGTATGTGATTTGATATAACATAACAAGTAAATCAATCAAAAACGTAAATCAACACACGTAAAATCGTCAGCCATTTTTGCTCTTAGTCAAAGTGTTATAAAACAGTGGGCCATGTTTATGAGTATTCACAGATCAAATATGAAAAAGATCGCTCCATTACTTTTCAAGTTACAGCAAAAATCGTAAAATAACGTCTAAAGGCCCGCATTTTCAAGTTTTATTGTTTACAGTTAAGGTGTCGGTGTAGTTATCAGAAAATACCAAACAAACATTCCGAAAGGCTAACTTTTAACTTTTTTCAGTCACATTTTCAGAGGGCTGAAAAATCTATTTCAGCATGGTAAGGGTCATTTTGTCCATGCCCATTGTGTACCTACGCACTACAAGCTGGCCAAAAATGATGGAAAAAGGTATGTGTTTGAGCATTTCGAAAAAAGAACCTCCCCGTCGGGGAATCGAACCCCGGTCTCCCGCGTGACAGGCGGGGATACTCACCACTATACTAACGAGGACTTGGCTGTGCGGCTGACGTTACACTTGAATCACGAACTGGTTCAACCAACATATAACATAACAAGTAAATCAATCAAAAACGTAAAACAACACACGTAAAATCGGCGGCTATTTTTACCATGGCAGCCTTTTAATCAAAGTGTCATAAAACAGTGTGCCATACTTATGTATTCACAGATCAAATATGAAAGAGATCGCTCAATTACTTTTCAAGTTACAGCAAAAATCGTAAAATAACGTCTAAAGGCCCGCATTTTCAAGTTTTATTGTTTAAAGTGTGCGCCTGACCTGGCTACGTATAGCACAGAGTTTATACTGGCGGATTAGACTAGTTCATTCTTTATATGTGTGTGAAAGCTTTCTCTTATTTGCGTTTTTTCGTTTAGTACGGTTTTGTTATAATTGCCGAGGTCATATAACCGGGATAAAACAATGATTATCGTTGACTGCCCACACACAAAACATACGTTGAGTGAACAGTGTTATTACAAACAACAGGCTTTAGAATACAAAGCGTAGTGTGATAATAAGCTGTACACTACCACTGCTGCATGTACATATTACTAATTTACTAGGGCTCCCAAAGAGTGGATAGGGAGGTTGTGTTTGTCACTTTTAAATTTTACATTTCAAAATTGTCATTTTACATGTCATAATTTGTTGGTTTCATTCGTTTAGCCAATCAAAACATTGTAAAACAATAAATTGTCTGTTACGTACAATCAATTTTGTTCAGTTTTGATTAGTTGTCAGAATGAAGTTACGTTCATCTGAATCCATGTATCAAAACAAAAATCCTATTTTCACTTCAAAATACTTCAGTGAGATGAAGGCTCGGAATTGTCACATGCAATAACTTATTGTCGTATTCGTTATTTTATCTTCTCGATAGTAGCATTTAGTCGCACATTTGATGCCAGGTCACCTTGTCGCGTACCTCTTGGGGAACCCCACATTTATGTGTGTACTCATGGAAGTAAATTCCCCGGTGTAGCCGAGAGCCACAAACTTTTCAACAGGTTCGAAATGACCAATTTCTCTCATATATACTCTAAATATTTTATTATTTAGTACCTACAAAGTATTGCTAATAACCATATGTAATTTCAATAAGGAAACTTATCTGGCTACATATAAATTCAATATCAACACTAGCTGTTCTCTCAACACGTCCTGGCTTACCTTGTGGTGACAAACCCTGGATTTTCGCTATTTATAGTTTATCAACACCTGGACGCATGCGCATTTTATAGTTTATCGGGCACTTTAAGGTTAAGGTGTCGGTGTAGTTATCAGAAAATACCAAACAAACATTCCGAAAGGCTAACTTTTAACTTTTTTCAGTCACATTTTCAGAGGGCTGAAAAATCTATTTCAGCATGGTAAGGGTCATTTTGTCCATGCCCATTGTGTACCTACGCACTACAAGCTGGCCAAAAATTGATGGATAAAGGTATGTGTTTGAGCATTTCGAAAAAAGAAACCTCCCCGTCGGGGAATCGAACCCCGGTCTCCCGCGTGACAGGCGGGGATACTCACCACTATACTAACGAGGACTTGGCTGTGCGGCAGACGTTACACTTGAATCACGAACTGGTTCAACCAACATATAACATAAGTAAATCAATCAAAAACGTAAAACAACACACGTAAAATCGGCGGCTATTTTTACCATGGCAGCCTTTTAATCAAAGTGTCATAAAACAGTGTGCCATACTTATGAGTATTCACAGATCAAATATGAAAAAGATCGCTCAATTACTTTCAAGTTACAGCAAAAATCGTAAAATAACGTCTAAAGGCCCGCATTTTCAAGTTTTATTGTTTAAAGTTAAGGTGTCGGTGTAGTTATCAGAAAATACCAAACAAACATTCCGAAAGGCTAACTTTTAACTTTTTTCAGTCACATTTCCAGAGGGCTGAAAAATCTATTTCAGCATGGTAAGGGTCATTTTGTCCATGCCCATTGTGTACCTACGCACTACAAGCTGGCCAAAAATGATGGAAAAAGGTATGTGTTTGAGCATTTCGAAAAAAGAACCGCCCCGTCGGGGAATCGAACCCCGGTCTCCCGCGTGACAGGCGGGGATA